CAAGGAATAAGCATCCTATCTATCGGCTACGTTCCAGAGCGCCGGGCATCAGCCAGGCTGCCCCAAAGGATGCCTGTACGCACCACCTATTCAACAAGCACAGAGGTGGAATGGCTTGGCAGACGCAAGCTTGTGCACTCCTTGAAATCTTCATGGAAGTGGAAGGCATGGCCCCTTGCTGGTGCCATGCACCTCCATCGATTTTCAGAGAGCGTCTTCTCCTTTGCAAAGAGGGCTTGTCCACTTGGGGCGTTTTTCCGCCTCACCGGGAGTGCCACGGCGCAGACCGATGTCCGCTGTTTCGAGTCGCCCCACCGATTCACCGGCCCGACGGCGGCGGCATCGGGCAGGTGAAACGGCTTAAGAAGCTTTCTAGTAGCTTCTTGTTACTAGAAGTAAGGCCAGGAGCCCTATTCGTAGCGTCCTTGCTCCTAGTAGCGATGCCAGGAGCCCCGATCGTAGCTTCTTGTTCCTAGTGGCTCCTTGTGATGTTCATAGTAAGAATGCTCTTTTCGTCGCGATGCCAGCCCCGTTCGTAGCGTCCGATCGCTCCGATCGTAGTAAGGCCAGGAGCCCCGATCGTAGCTTCTTGTTAGGCTTTGTGCTTTTCTGTGCGCGACTTGTTCCCAACATCGAAAAAGGCAGGAACTTGAGGCCTCAGCTTGTCGAGCTTCCTGAGGCCTCTTCCAAAATCTTCGGTGAGCGTTCCAGAAGTTTTTCAGCCCAAAGCGGCTGAACGGGGTGTAGATTGGAGAGCTTCAAGGGCTCTCAGCTGGAAGAACCAGGGTTAACCCCGTCTTGGACCAAACGATTCCGTTGAGTTCTGGACGACTGGGAGATGACCATGGCTGGGAGATATCACGAAAGGTAGCTTGAGCTACCTGAGTTCTCCTTGCTTTAGCAAAAATGTATTACAATCAGGAGTTGGGATTGTGCATTGAATTTGGTCCTGTAAGAGTTGATTCTGTTCGTCGGGGGGGGGGGGGGGGGCCCCCCCTGGATCAAATCCCCCCTGCGCCGGTTCACGCCGTCGTGGACTTCTACCAGGGTTACTTGTGATTGCCTGCTACCTTTCGTTCACCCCCTCCTCTCTCAAGTCATTCATGGCCGGTCTATATACATGGCCGCCAGTTCGATCGCTTGACCGTGAAATGAGCTTGTGCAGCCGCGTGAATGACATTTCTGGGAGTTGCTGGGGGTTGTTGCTTTTCCTCCAAGGCAAGTGAAGAAGGAGAAAATATATAGACCACTCAAAAGTTAGAGAAACATAATATGCTTCTGCAACTGCTGAGCGAAGAACAGATCCTCAAGTCATACAAAACTGTGTGAAAGTTTAATTTTCTACGAAACAGTTCATGTTATTGTATGCTATTGTTGTCACTGCATTCGTCCAGGGTTACAAGGTGAGTAGGGCTGCCACAGTTGGGCCAAAGGCGTTCACATCTTCTGCAACGAGGCATGCTGCCAAAACAATCAACCACAAGGGTGGCGGGGAAACTTAACATGTGTTGTCAAGCGATCCGTGGGGCGCGAGATAGATGTGTGTCGGTTATGCAATCCTATTTGTGGCAAGTAGATCTCCTATCACGGTTGAACAGAATTGAACCAATTGAACAACAGACCAACATCATGGACATGCAGTTCTCGGGATGAAACGGTATCTTGTTGGTCTTGTGATCTCTACTGAATCTCTACCCCTGAGAATGGACGTGTCAGAACAGTAGAAGATGCCGAAATGACAGTTGTTGGTTTCGCCGGGTTCCGATGTGTCGTCTTCAGAACCGGTAGGTACAACCCTCCAGTGATCTCGACGAAGGGCATGCAGCTTAGCTGAGAGAAAGAGGGACGTCTGATGAGATTTCATGAGCAATTTCATCATGAGTTCTCCAAAGAGAGGAAGGCTGTGGGCCATGTGACAGGCACGACTTCTCAATTTCAATGCATATTCCGCACGAACCCATAGCAAATTCCATTCAATCTAGACTCAAACTGAAAACAGTTGGAAGAGTTTATCGGAGAATGTTTTGTTGGACGGCTTCCGCACCGCTGTGCCTTTCCCTACCTGAGTAAACTCTACAGACTACACACGAATAGGTTGCTGCTCGAAGCGCAATGTCCAATACATCTGGTTTCTTCGCAGCTGACGACAGGCTACTGGCACTGGGCCTGTTGAGTCAGAGCTGTGTACAGGCCCAACCGTCTCCAGCCTCACTCTTTCTTTTCTGGGTCCGGTCTGGGGAAGGGACTGGTGCCGGGCCCCATACGTGGAAAAAGAACATGCAGCTCACATGCGTGGGTCGGAAACGGAGTCGAAACGACCGTCGGGTTGACCGTCGGGCTTTAGGTCCGTGATTAGAAACCAATGAGTCATGTTGAGCGTAAACCGTTGCATCCATCCCATGACAGGACTCCAGGCATGCCGTGGCGAATGGACAGCGCGCTCGCGCTCTCCTGAGTGTGTCATAGACCGGAGGGGCTTAAGGAAGCGTCCTGGGACCGGGCGCGCCAATCGTTGCATGGTCATGTGGTGAAACATGATGCTACATGGGTGGGCATTTCAATAGGGACAACCCATTGGTTTTGAATTCCTTTATTCCTTCTTCCAGAGGATTGAGCTGGGGTGAGACACCCCTCTTCAATTGCACACCCGCTCCGGGCCTAAGGCAGCCACCCCGTCCAAGAGAACGCGGAAGTCGATGAGACGGTTTGCAACCCTGGAACTGCTTCAGGTCACAGGGCTGGTGACCTTCAGCAGATTGGTGACACGTTCGAGTTCGCATGTCTTTGAGCCACGGTGGTTCACATGTGAGCGATTTGGTTCACAAAACTGCCCTGCCCGAAGAAGTGACATCGATGGGCGAGCTTGGGCTCGGAGCCTGTCTGTTTCTTTTGTATTTCTCTGCATGCAGCCTTTCAAGAAAGGCTATATGATACACCGGGAAGGCTATATGTATGTATTTTTCCTCTCAGTCTCCTCTGAAAGATGTTTTGTCCTTTCAAAGCTGATGACGGATGACTCATAGATCAAGTTTCTTCGCCTTTTCTGGAGACCTTTCTGCTTCACAAACACTTGGCCATTGAGGCTTAGTCGAACTGGAACACCAAATCGAACGGCAGGGAGTCTAGCCGCAACAGCTCAGTCCGCCATTCGTCAAGAACTCAGGTGGAGGTGCACCGCGTGTCGCCCGAGGAGGAGGAAAGGTGGGGAAGAGGGGACGATCGGAAGATGTGACAATTCGACTACTGCAGATGCTCGTGATGTCCCACCTTTTTGGGTGAGCTCCTTTGACTCCTTGACCACGACCGGGGGTCCATGGACTGCCACTTGTATTATGTTGTATAATGAGATGTAATGTTAATCACTCGTATCTCCCACTTTGCATATTAACCATATCAAATCAATGTTGGACACGTTCTCGCTCCGCAATCTTGGACACGTTCTGCTTCCGCATTTTCCGCCAGGCGCTATTTTGCCAACATGGTCGGCGACTTTGCAGGCGTTTCCATCAGTCTTGTCACGACAAACAGCAAATCTGTTGCTCATAAGTATCAGTTCAAGGAAACCTTCCTAGAAAACCGACCCCAAACTGTGGACACGCTGTAAACATAGGTATGTATATATATATATATGCATTACCGTTCTCGCACACACACACACACACATATATATATATATAGAGATCTCTCTCTCTCTATATATATATATATATCTGCCTCTCATTCTTTCGTTTGTGTCGAATACCTCAGTTGTTTTTTGCTTTTCTGTCTTCGACCGCTCCGCCGCAGGCGTCCCCAGCAGCGTGATGGAAACAGCGTTGGTGACCCAGCGGGGAGAGGTGACATTGGGTTGAACAATTAGTAGAGCGACCCCACAGAGAAAGAGCATTCCAAACCACTCCTGTCCATGCTTCGCGTGGGGTCTCTCAAAGTTGTCCTCAACAAGGAGCCAATTCTCCATGAATACCAGCACTCTGGGAACTCAAAAGCTGAGAAATCCCACGTTCGGGTCCTTTTCGAACTGGAGTTTTCGATCGTTTTTGTGCTAACTTGTTGGTGCGGATGAAGGATTTGCATCTTCAGAGTGTCTGATGGTGTCTGAGGTGGTCTGACTGAACTACTCCTTTAGTCTTATTCATTCTGCGCCAGACATCCACATTGAGGCGTCCGAAGCCGCAGGTGGCCTACGAATGGAGCAACTGACTCCGGACATCTTCGCCTCCGACTGGGCAAACTTCCGAAAACACGTGGCCGAAAACGAAACGACCGCAGCGTGGCGGACGGAGATGGACTGAGGAGTTCAGAGGTTTCTTCTCCAGTTCCATGTCGGAAGTTAGACCCAAGAAGTGGGTGGGCACCCCGGAACGCAAGGAAGCCACCGCCCCTTGCAAAGAACTCCTGGAATAGTTCCATGGATCCTGCGCTAGACGGTTTGGGGACGCTTAGTGTCAGACTAGGCCGAAATTTCTGGGCCAGACAGAATCAAGCAGTTGGCCGGTTGAAATATAGAGCGCAAACTCAACGAAGAGGTCAGGCGGGGGATCTCCATGATGTGTTCTGCTTTGATACTGGCGGGTGTCTCATGGGTTCAGTTTAGGTTGGCGCGTCCCAGGAGGATTCGAGGAAATACCCCTAGGAGGATTCGGTTATCACAGGTGAGCGGAGATGATACTTTGTGTGTCGGACATGAGACTGTGGACACACACACACACACCTCCAAACGCATCCCACCCACAAGGTCTGCCGCTGATGCTTCAAAAACCAAGCATAGATTAGAGATGATTAGAGTGAGAAGAACATATGTTGAAGACACAGTTCTTGCACAACTGAAGAACAGAATTGAAACGGTGTCTTCCATCCACAACTGAAACTATTATTGGATCTATTGATGCAGGACACTCTCTTGAAGGCCGTAGATATGGCCAGATCCAATAATCATAATAAGGAAGCCGCCATGCTGTAAGTAACATCAGATGCAGCGCCTAACTATACTATCTGGACGTCTTGAAATCGCCTAGTAGGGAATGTTTCGTCGATGGCTGTGGGCTTCATGGTTCAGCCTTTTCATGGTTCGCCCTAGCCTAGCGTATTTGGGCGGGCTTGAGGTCGGGCAGGCCAAATTGGCCGCTACATCAGAAGCCAAGGGTTGGCAGAGCTACCGCTTCGTCAATGACTTCCCAGATGTTCCAGTCGTGGTTGTCATGCCAGGCGCCTCTGACTACCTCACGGACCCGAGCAGTGTTCGACTCCGAAACATTAGTCGCACCCATTTCGAGGCGTCGATCGCAGAGCCGTTGGGGAGAGATGGCAGTCATCCTGGAATGAACTTCAACTACATTGCTATGTCCCAGGGCATTTTTCTGGTCAATGGGTCCACCTTTGAAGCAGGAGTGTTGGACATCAATGAACGGCAAGCAGCGAGTTGCCGGCCTTTGGCCTTTCCAAATAAGGCCTGGGCGGAGGTGAGGTTCCAGCACAACTTTTCACAAGCGCCGGTCTTCCTCACCTACATCCAAAGCTCCAATGGTGAAGTCCGAGCCTTGCCCACTGAAGCGCCCTCCGAGCCGTGGCTTACGATGGCCGTGACAGCGCTGTCTGAGAGCTCAGCTCTGGTGGCCTTGGACTCGAACACTGCCCCATCGGAGACTTTGCATGAGACACCCTAAAGAGAGGGATCTAACACCCCCAGGTGGGCGGGAGAATGGGCATAGCCTGAAACAGGAACCCAGACCTCTAGGATGAGGCGATTTGCGACCTTGGACTCCCCGACCTGGAATCAGCAGCAGGGTCAAACGTGGGCCAGAAAACATCAGAATACCATGAAAAAACAAAAATATAACTTCCGGGAGTTCCAAAGGGATGGACTTTAGACCCTAAGTGCGTGTACAATCGGCCAAAAATAGGCACCACTTTGCCCTGCCTATCATTTGACACTGCTTCAGCCTCACCAGCCCAAGGAGACCTACAATGATGTGCCCGAAACCATTGGATACATTGCGCTTGAGAAAGACTCACTCGGGACGCTGGAGGCCACAAGCGATGGAGATTTCCTGGAGCTCCATGCTGATGCAGTTAGATGTGAAGCGAATACCTGGCTTGACGTTTATTCAGCATCAGCGCGGGGCTGCATGCGTGAGATTCTTGAAGCTTCTGCTTGCTCCCAGGCATTCATCAACTATGGCTCGACTTCAGGCCGTTGCGGTTGCATTGAAGTCAATGCAGATTGCACACAGACGGTGTCTGATGCGGAGACCAAGGTTTATCGCATTCTGAGTGTTTCGAGTCCGGCTGGCGCCCTTGTCACATATCTGGGGCTCAGCAAGATCCTCGAAGACTCCAGCTATAAGCAGATCAAATCTGGCTCTTGGCCAAGTGTCGGCTTGGGCAGTGCTTTGCAGTCCAGTTCTCCAGTGCTGATAGCCAGTCCGGAAACTAGAGGAGGTGGCGATGGTGTGTGGTATCGCTTAAATTTTGGCACGGTGAGCTCGAGCAGCGCCCAATTTATTGTAGAGGAGGCTGGATATAGTGGCGCAACTTGACTTGATTTTGTATGATTTTGTAAAGGCTTGATGTCAGAAGTCCAAGCAACATGCTACCTGAATGTTAGCTAAAGCTAGGTATAGCTAGGTTTGCGAGGAAGACTTGGTAGCAGAACTTGAGGAAACTATGACTGTCCATCGGCAGGTGTGGGACACAAGCTAGACAGGACGGCAGGAGCAGGCAAACCTATTTTGTCTATTTCCAGTCGCACAGTGGTCGACACTGTTGTGGAGCTCTTCGGCCTTTTCGCCGACCGCTGTAGACCCTTCAAATTCACCAATCAATTATCGGCTAGATTCTTCATTGCTTCTGTGGGTCCCCAAGCCTCGCCACAAGACTACTGGTCGTGTCGTTTTGAAACATGTTTCACGAAAAAGCGCCAGCGGCCCGTTGACGGCTCACCCGCCAGCAAAGCCCTCCACATCCCAAGCGCCAGACACCGGACTTGACTCGGGCGCTGGTGCAGGAGGTAGCAGGTGCAAAGCGCCATTCTGCCGCTAATCCCACTGGGCTTGACCCGTCAAAGGCGTGGGTCCTGCTGGAGAACGCAGGGCTACACAAAGACCGCATGGAAGGACAAACCACGCCATGGAAGTGCAAGGGCGCCCAGCTCTGTTTGGATGCTCTTGCGTATATGTTTCGCCACATGGTGAAGTAGGTGCTGAACCAAGCCACGTGCCAGGCAGGTTGCGAGACACTTGGAGAGGGCGTTCATGGTCTCTAGAATGTGAAGGCGTCCTTCGAACCGGTCGTGAACCCCCCCCAAACCGAGGCTGAACGGTCTACCAAGCCTGCTCAGGAGGTTGAGCGGATGGGCCAGTCCATCCTCAGCATCCACAGGCGAGAAAATGAGTTGAAGCCACTCCATCATCAAAATGAAAACCGCGCCAACTGGCCCTGAAGAACGCCGACTGGCCCCACCTTGAGCTTTGGCAACGACGACTTGGAACATAACATCTTCAACTTCCATGGCAGCCTCAGTGGAGGGCATGGCGAGCACCACAGGGATGTAGCCTGCAGACTTCACCTCGGATGTGTCATGCTCATCTGCGCACAAGAATCTGTGGCCTTGGTCACACACTTCCAACTTCCCACGGATCTCTCCGACATGCCCAACGCTGCTAGGCATGCCATGTTTCAAGCAGTGGTCGAAATTCAGGAATGTCTTGAAGACTCACCAAGAACTGAAAGTCACTGAAGAGTGTCTGATATGCTCAACCTCCCCCCAACAACTATCCATTGGCCCTCTTGCACCTGCAGGAGACCCCGCGTATAGGCAAGGATGCAGGCGTTTGGTAATGATCAATGCGTGCATCTGCTCGTTTGAGCCCACACGGGGCTCTTGAGCCAAGCCCGAGGCCACTGGGCCGTGGGCGACTGTTGCAGGGGGATGGATCCAACCTGCCCCCGCAAAGAACTCCGGAAGAGCTTCGCGCTGTTCGATGTCGCAGGGAAACATTTCAAGTGAGTCACCCAGCCATTGAGAAGTAAGAACCCTCTGGCCGCTCTCAAACGGGTAGAGCAAGACACATCAGACAGACACAACCCAGTGGGGAGAGAAGGCCAGGCGCAGGCGCTCGTAGCGGCTTTCGAAGCTCCGCTCCGAGGGTGTTGGACCACAAGACACGAGCCGCAGAGATCGACGCATCGACACGCCGACAGTGAGAGAAGATCACAGACATGGCAGCAACAGTGGCAGGACATCGCGGAAACCCGTCGCGCAGCCGGTGTAGCTACGTCAGAACCGGTGCAGCTACGCGGATCCCCAGGGGAAGAGCACTGTAGCTACCACTGCTTGAGGGACAGCCCTTTCGTGGATCCCCAGGGGCTTAATGCTTTTTTTAAAGGATAGACTTCCAAAGCTGCAAGCGCATTCACGATATGTAGATGAAAGAAGACCAAGGCAACGAGACAGGAGGTCTCCCTGCCGCTGGCAAGCAGCACTTTCACTGCAAACTTCGCAGCGAGTGGTAGCCAGACCTTTAGTTTTTCATCTTGCGATGTGACCCAGCTGGTTGATTCTGGTGCAGTTTTCAAGGAGACCGTGTTCGAGAGCGTTTCTTTTTCGAATGAGTCGCTTGCACTGTTGTTGATGAGAAAGTGACGTTACACTGCATGTGCCATCAGGCTACATGCTATCAGGCCCGTACCTTTTTCATCCCTTTCCTCCCCTCATCCTCACCCACTTAGTGCGCCATGTGTTGCGGCCGAGATCATAGCGCATTGCCCGTAGTGACCCCGCCAGCTGTGCACTTCCTTCCCTCTTCCTCCCCTTCCTTTGTGAACTTTCATTTCTACACAAACAAGGCTTGAGTGGTACAATGAAGCCTTGGGTTGCCTCCTTTCATTGTGCAATGGTACTGTAGGGCAATCTTCTCCGTTTTCATTCCCTTTTTCCAGTGAACGCTGTTCACAAGGCAGGAACCAGTCCGTCGTTCGCCGCCAACTGTTCAGGAACATGATTTTCGAATCCGCCGCACTTGTGACCTCAAGGCGGGTGGGTCACTGCTCGCGAAAAGGCTTCGCGGTGCGCCGTTCGACTCGGCGCTTGCTTTCTGCTTGGTTTGTCGACCTCGAGTGCGACTACATTTCTTCGCATTGGTAGCGGAGCTGTTGCTCCGGGACTACGCGTCTTCCAGCACGAGGCTCTGCATAAGACCTACGTCACCAACCCTCTGCCGAGCACCTGACTGGCCTCGGATCGTTGCTCTTTGGTTGAGGGACCTCTTCTATGCCACCACCGACGCAGGCAGCAGAGGCACAAGCTGCGGAATTCCAGAATCTGCGCGACTCCTTTGTGCCCCTCTTCAATGGACAGCCCACTGAGTACCGCGAGTCCAGAAAGCGGCTGATGCTCTATCACAAGAAGATGCTCTTGAGCAAGAGAGGAGGCGAGGCTGTCCTGAACATCTTAGGATCGTTCTCGAGAGTTGTCTGGCGTCTTTTCGAAGACTTCCCGGTTGAGGACTGCGAGAAGGAGGACGCCTTTTCCAAAGTGTTGGCTCGCCTCGATCGCAACTTTGAGTATGACGACCGCGTCCTCCTCCCGAACGACTTTGAGAACTACTTCACGAACTTGCAGCGCAAGCATCAACAGAGCTTGCTGGCCTTTGTGACCGACCACGATGAGGCCTATCGCAAGATCACTGGTCACAAGATCACCCTTCCTAGCCAAGTGCAAGGATGGCATTTGCTCAAGCGCTCTGGCCTGACCCGTGAACAACGCCAGATGGTGACCTTGAAAGCCCCAACGTTGGAGAAAGCAAATGTGGTGGAAGCCCTGTTTCTCCTCTATGGCCAAGACTACAAGGCCGGTGGCTGGACCAATGATCGACGTCCTCAACGATGGAAGGGTCGTGGCTATGCAGCCTATGATGAAGAAGCCCCTGACCAGACCTGGGAGGAGGTTTACTATGAGGAAGATTGGCCTGAGGCTGATGAGACCTACATGCCTGACTATGAGGACACCGCCTTCGATGATGACGCCGCCTACTTTGGGGGTGAAGAGGACTATGGTGATGACTATGAAGGCTATGATGATGATCCTGCAGGCATGGCTGAGGCCTACGACTCGGCGTACGCCACCTACATGGATGCAAGACAGAGGTTCCAACATCTCAAACTTGCCCGCGGCTATCTTCCGGTTGTCGCTTTGACTGATGGCCAATCCACTTCAGGAACAACACCCATCATGGGACAAGGAAAAGGCCGTGACAAAGGCCGTGGCAAGGGCAAGGGCAAGTCCAAAGGAAAGCACACCAACGTGATTCGATACCCTCCGTCTTCTGGTGGCAAAGCTGATCCCAAGGGCCGTGCCAAGGCCGCGACCTCTTCAATGACGTGCTTGCGATGCGGTCAGCTGGGCCACTGGGCAGCTTCATGCCCGCAGAACTCCAAGAGTGGCTCTCCTAGCAACAAGAGACCCGCGCCCAGCACTTCAACCACGACAGAAAGCATGGCTGTCCACTCTGAGACGGCATTGCTCCTCTTTCAGGACGAGCATGGCTTGGATCACCCTGAAGCGACTATGCTGGATCCAGGTGCTTCGGCCTTCCTCAGCGGCTATGGACCCTTCAAGCGTTACGTTGAGCACCTGAGCAGTCTGGGTTATCCTGTCAACACCCTTCGCTTCGCTCGTTGCGAGCGCCAGTTCCAGTTTGGAGGTGATGCTTCATCCAAGGCCCGCTGGACGGTCGACTTGCCGGTGATGATTGATGGCCAATATGGTACAATCCAATGCTACCTGGTTCCGGGCAACACGCCCATGCTCATGGGACGACCGGTGATCGAAGCTCTTCACATGAGCATCGATTTCAGCGGCAAGCAAGTCAGGTTTGGATCTTCACCTTGGCAAGCTGTTCTCCTTGGCCGCCACGGGGAATACCTGTTGTCCTTGACAGCTGGTATGGATGGCGCTCCTGACCCCACCAAGGCCGCCTTCGCATTGAACATCGCTGAGGAGGTTCCTGGAAGCCATCTTCATCTACAGGACTTCAACCAGATGGAGAACATCTTCATGGCCGATGATCAAGTCATGGTTGACAATGGCATGTCCTACCAGCCACTCAAGCGCAATCAACTGCACACCATTGAGCTTGGCCTTCTCCAAGTCACTCGACAAGCTGAGGCCTATGTGACGCAAGAACATGCAAGAACTTCATCGTGAAGATGCTCGACCTCAGCGAGTGCTTTGGGAGATCTACTGCGGCCACAGCCGGACATCCCAGTTGGCTGAGACAATGGGCATGACCGTCGAGCGGTTCAGTCTCGACAATGGCTGGGACTTCAATCTCCAAGACCATCAACGCCAGCTCCTGGCAAAACAACAAAAGGAAGATGCCTGATGAAGTACTACTTGCACCGACGTGCAAACTGTGGTCACGGATGCAGACCTTGGCTTGCCGAACTGACTCCCAACGAGAAGCTCTCATAGCAAGTCGAGAACATCACCATCGACGGCGCTTGCTCTTCTGCAAAAAGGTCTACATGGCCCAGGTCGAAGGTGCACGACGTGCCCATTTGGAACAACCTCGGCATGCTCTCAGTTGGAAGACCACTGCACTTCGCTCCTTGCCTGGCTATGCCGCCGAGTTCGACCAGTGCCGCTATGGAGCTCAGTGTTTGGACACGGATGGCTGTTGGAAGCCCGTGCAGAAGTCAACACGCATCCAAACCACCAAGAAGGCTGTTGCAGAGGCTATGCACCTGCTATGTCAGCATGATCATGATCATTGCCACCTCGAAGGCAGTGCGCCCGGGTTTGGACCTCGCACGACCTACATGGAAGACTACCAACCTGGTTTCGCTGCAACTCTGGCCGCAGCGATCATGCAGCCCGAGCTCCCTCATCATTGGGAGTCAGCACACGCAGTTAGCACTGCCAAGGTGACTGGTCATTTGGTGAAGCTTCATGCAGAACATCGAGCTGACGCCCTTCGAACCGTTCAACGACTACATCGAAATCTTGGTCATCCCTCTGCAGATGCACTGGCTGATCTGTTAGTTGCACGAGGAGCCAACTCCACAGTCATTGAAGCTGCTCGCCAATATCAATGTGTCTCCTGTGCCAAGTACAAGAAGCCAAACGAGGCTGCACCTTCTGCTATGCCCAAGAGCCGACAGTTCAATGACGTCGTGCAGTCTGATGTCTTCTACCTCAAGGTCGGTGACCGCAAATACCCAGTGTTGAGTGTGGTTGACGTGGCCACGAGGTTCATGGCAGCCTATTTGCTCGACGATGAGGCCACCTCTTCGTATGTCATGGCTTTGGAGAAAATGTGGCTTCGACACTTTGGGCCCCCGAAGACTCTGGTGACGGATGAAGGTAGATCCTGGTTGGGCGGTGAAATGGACACCTGGTCCACCTCCTGGGGTATCGAACACCAAGTCGCCCCCGGAGAAGCCCACGAGCGTCTGGCCCTCGTGGAGCGCAGACATGCTGTTCTGAGGAAAGCCATCGAGATCTACCTCAACGACAGAAAGCTGACCAACAAGAAAGGAATCCGTGAGGCGATCACTCACATCATTCCTCAGCAGAATGGCACTCCATCCGTCGCTGGCTTTTCACCGTCTCAATGGGTCCTTGGTTATCAACCGGAGCTCTCACACTTGATGGACAGCAACCTCAATCCCGCTCAGCTTGTTGGCACCAATGAGACCTTCGAGAACAACCTTGAGCGTCGCACAGCTGCCAAGATTGCCTTGACCACCGCTGATGCTGACAGCAAACTTCGACGAGCTCTCGGACGTCGTTACCAAGGGCAGAATAAGGAGTTCAAGCTGGGTGAACGTGTGTGGTTCTGGAGAGATGCTCGCCAGGGCTTGCTGAACAAGATACGTTGGTTGGGTCCTGCACACGTCATCATGCGAGAGGAGTACATTCCTCCTGACTCGCGCAAGCCCACCGTCAAGACCTACTGGCTTGCCTACAAGACCCAGTTGATCCGTGCTGCACCACATCATGTCCGCGGAGACATCCTTGGCCCTGAGCATGTGATTGACGACCTGCAGAAATCGCTCAACATGGTGAGGCAGCTCAAGTCGGTGGTATGATCTCCAGCGTGTCAACCGACAGAGGCTGGATGATGTCGACGAAGATGAGCAGATTGATGACCCCGGTGGACCACTGGATGAAGATGAAGTAACACCACCACCAGCTCGTCGTCTCCGCCTTCATCCACCAACTGAAGGTATTGAACCAATGGTTGACATCCCTGCGGACGACTACTCTCCGACCTCGCCTGCTCATTCTGGCTATGCTCCTACGTCACCAACTGCATTGATGGCGCCTCCGCTGGTCGAGCAGGAGCAGACAATGGCAGTGCCACCTGCGGAACATGCTGCTCAGATTCCTGTACCACTGTCGTTACCGACCTCACCAGCGTCACGACGTTCCCGATCACAACCTCCGAGTGTGGCTGAACCAGGCGCTGAACCTGCTGTGCCGACGCCACATCATGGAGAACAACCCTCAGCAGAGCTGGATCCTGAGACAGCTGCTCTCTACGAGCCTGTGGATGGTGAGTCCTTTCAGGAGCGTCGCAACCGGTTCAACAGACAGGAAACAATCAGCTTTGGACCTTGGCGACATCAAGGACGACGAGATTCAACTCCATACGAGACGGCAGACCACCCAAGATCTCTATCCACATCGGAGCCTCTCTCTTCACCACAAGCTGAACAAGATCCTGATGCTGCACTGCTCTCTCAAGCCTTTACGATCTCCGAGATCACAGCGAACTGCCTGCCCAAAGGCTGGAACTTTGAAGATGGATACTTTCAGCTGGACAAGCGTCCGATGGACCATTGGGAAGTCAAGGCTGGCTGCTTGATCCGGCATCATGTGGTTCCTCGCCGCCAGAAGATGAGCCTTCAGCATCTACCACGAGATTCGCCCTTCCCAGCCGCAGAACTGGACAATGTGCGGGTCACTGTGGTCTACGACACCAATGGTCGCTGCAGACAGTTCACTGATGACGGCTCATGTTGCTTGCCCCCAGTTGACACATCGTGGACAGGGGTGACCGTGTTTCAGATTCGCGGTCCTGTGAGAAAGGAGTTGGCCATGTATGCCAAAGAACCCCTTGTTGGTGCAAAGCAAATGGGCAAGATCTCCAAGCAGCGCCATGCAAAGGCCTTCAAGAAGGACAAGAACAATCTGTCGGAGCGAACCATGACGCCCGATGAGAGAGCCCAGTTCAAGGCAGCTAAGGTGAAAGAACTTCAGTCCTTCTTCGACAACCAGGTCTGGACCTTCGAGACCACAAAAGAAGCTGAACCCACCAGGACTTTGACGAGCCGGATGCTCCTCAAGTGGTCGGAACTCCTCGGGCGAAAGCCCGACTCATCGTTCGTGGTTTCATGGACCCTGACGCTTGGGAAGGAACTGTGCCTACATCATCCCCTACCACAACCAGATTGTCTCGCTCTATCTTGTTGAGCTTGGCTGCAACTATGTCCTGGCCGGTTTGGACTTCAGATATTGCAACTGCATTTCTTCAGGGCAAACCACAAAGTCGGAAGCTTTGGGTCCAACTCCCTGCAGAGTGTTTACAACTTCTTGGAGCTACACCTGACGCACGGATGCTCTTGTTGAAACCCTGCTATGGGCAGATTGACGCCCCAAGATCCTGGTACATGGCTGCTGTGGACAAACTGCTCGACATGGGCCTCCAACAGCACCCCCAGGATCCTTGCTGCTTCCTGGCTTACGAGTCGGACTTGAATCCGGACTACAAGTTTGACCAAGAGCACCCTCACTTGTTTGGTCCATGCGGACTATGTGGCATCATCATCATGCACGTTGATGACATGCTGGGTTGCGGTGCTGAGACCTCATCCTGCTACCACTCCCTGATCGCTCGCCTCAAGAGCACCTTCGACCTTCAACTTCAGAGAGTGGAAGACTGGCAAGGACGGTTCCGATCTCTCGTATTGTGGATGTGACCTGAAGCTCACCGAAGCCGGAGGCTACAAGCTCGAACAGTCCACCTACATGAAGAAGGTGAAACCAATCACCATCGACAAACGTCGAGATGCCAGTGAAGCATGCTCTGAGAAAGACATCTCCCAACTTCGAGCTCTACTTGGCTCTTTGCAATGGCCATCTGTGCAGTCGAGTCCTCACCTTCAAGGCAGTACATCAATCCTCAGTGGATGTGTCTCCCGAGCCACCACTCAGACCTTGTCCGAGTGCAACAAGTTGTTGAAGTTTGGAAAGGAGAACTCCGACATTGGCCTGACCTATGAGCACATTGGCTCTGTGGAAGACCTTCGTCTTCTATGTTTCTTTGATGCTGCATTCGCCACTCGGAACGACAGCAGTTCACAGTTGGGATACATCATTGTCCTCATCGACAAATCCCTTCTTCAGCCTGATGGTCCCGAAGGAGCATACCACATAGTGGACTGGAGGAGTCAAAAGACACCGCGTGTTGCCAGATCCTCTCTGGGTGCTGAAGCCCAGGCTGGTGGACAGGCCTGCGATGCTGTTGAACACGTTTGCGTGTACTGGAGTTAACTGCCTCCAAGATCCGCGGCTGAAGCTCAAAGACCTGCTGGACTGCAAATCCTCCTTGGCTCCGACAATGGTTACAGATGCCAAAGCCCTCTTCGACTTGTTCCACCGTGAAGGATTTGGCTTGTCAGTGGTAGACAAGCGGGTGTCCCTGGAAGTGAGAGTCATGAAAGAGAGACTCTTGGCCCTTGGAGGAGCTCTTCCGAAAGACAGCTGGCCGACGGCCTTACGAAAGAAAGCGCTCGTGGTCTACTAGCCCAACGCCTGCGCTTTGGGGACCCGAGCTATAAGGCCGCGAAGAAGAAAACGAAAGAAGAGTTGAAGGCAAGTCTCCAAGAAAGCACTTTCAGCCCTCCTGCCGTAACAGTAGAACATCATGAAGTGCTGCCCTCAGACGACCTGCCACCGGTTGATGAGCATGTGAAAGAGAATGACATGGTCCCTGAAGAACAAGACACCCCTGCCTTTGTCAGCATGGCTGTAACAGAGGACACAGTGTCCTACTTGATGGAAATGTTTGAGTATGCCCTGCCCCATGAAGAGACCTTTGAGTCTGTCGATGATGGCAGCGCTGATCCATGCCATGTCGTGCGCCGCATGCAGTATGTGACCATGAGTCGCCTGCAGAACCTCCTCTGGTGGGCGATGATCTTGATCCTGCTGCCAACGACCGCGATGGCTGCTTCTGAGGATCTCCCTGAAGATTCCTTCACCACCATGGTGATTACGGTGTTGAGTTTGGTCGCCAGCGCGTGTTTCCTACTTGGCCGCTGGAGCAAAGCTGCCCTCAAAGAACCCACCGTGCTGCAAGCCTGCTCGATGGGCACCCAGACGGATGACACTACTGTCTCCCGGAAGCTGAGAGAGGAAATTGAACTGTGGCAACTTCGCACCTTGGAAGCTCAGAGTTCGGCTCGAGAAAGTCGGAAAATACCTGGACTTGGCCATCGCCAACATGAATTATGGTGGTGAGCTGCTGTATCGAGCACAGAGCATCTTGCGCCGCTGTCTCAAAGAGATGGATGAGCATCGTTTGGAATGCCCACTTCATGGCGGCATCTACATTGCCCGCCACGGAAAGAAGTTGCATATCGACCCAAGCTGTAGCTCGCTCGAGGGCCGTGATGCTCGGAATGTGGACATTTTCCACCCTTGTGCCCTGTGCAGCTCTCGCATTGTTCCTCCCGACCATGTGCCCGTGTCTGGAGGATCTTCCTTGCGCATGGCAATCATCACTTGGCTGGAAGCCAATGGTTTGGTTGCTGAAGAAGTGATTTCCACGGTGCCGGCGTCGACTTTTGGACAAGAGCTTCCCCCCATGTGAAGTGAACGCTGTTCACAGGGCAGGAACCAGTCCGTCGTTCGCCGCCAACTGTTCAGGAACATGATTTTCGAATCCGCCGCACTTGTGACCTCAAGGCGGGTGGGTCACTGTTCGCGAAAAGGCTTCGCGGTGCGCCGTTCGACTCGGCGCTTGCTTTTTGCTTGGTTTGTCGACCTCGAGTGCGACTACATTTCTTCGCACCAGTCATTTTCTTTTGACTGGTCACGTCTGTTCATCCCATTTTTCCTTCGTTCCTTTGTTTTTTGATGTGTTTTTTGTGAGGGAGGCCTGGCCTTCATCCAAAATTGGTCTTCCGGTGCCGGTTCTCACGACTGAGGTTTGGTTTTCACCTAGTTTCCTTTCCTTTCACCCCGCAGCTTCACTTGGTTTCCTCTATAGAAGTCTTGCCTTTCACGTTCCGTGATCTGGTCCCTTCCATGTGCGCATTGCCCCTAAGACCTTTGGAGGGCCTGACCCAAATGAGGGTATGCAACGTCGGCTGGTGGCAACTAGGGCAAGGAAGGTCGGGCTCCAAGGACGACACCTTCCTTGAAGCCAGTGACTCCCACTTTGCGATACTTTGCGATCGAGGTGTTTGCGCATTGCCAGAAGTGCCCACTCCTTTCCTACAGTAGCCTTTCCTGCCTGCAAACTCTGTATGTAGACTTTATGACTTCATGCAGGCCATCACTCTCTTCATCAGTTTTTTCTTTTCTGTTTTCATCCTTTCTCATTGTTTTGTTTTCGAGCGCTGTGGTCAGGACAGCACAGAGCTTCGACTGGAGGTTCAATGCAGCCAGTCAACTTGCTTGGACATTTTGCGCGTTGGAGGTGACAGTGCGAATGCCTGGATGATCTCTGGGATCTCGAGCCAGTTCCTTGCTCATTCTTGACCAGCTAACATGGACCTGAAAAAGAAGCCCTCGGGCTCTTGGGAGATCTTGGAGGACTACTACTGTAATTACTTCGCTCAAAGCCTTGGTTCGCATGTCCATGTTAGAGGGCAGGACCATTCTTTTTAATTTTTCGAGCTGGATCCTCTTTAAATACGATAAAGTCCCTTGAAAAAGCTGTGTAAAACAGGCATCATGGTTTCTTTCTATGAGACCATTTCAGAAAGGTTCACGGTCAACATTGGCCAATGGCAATCCATCACTGTACCGTTGTGGACGGCCTCTTACACTGGCAGTATCCCATGGAACGACTTGACGTTTCTGGAGGTGTTCTCTGATTTTGGCAATGTCGACTTCAGCTTGCGTAATTTGGAACTGTATGTCGCACCGGAAACATGTAATGGATTGAGAGACCATGGTAGAGCGGAAACACTCTCCGTTTTGGCCTTTGATGCCGCTTTCCATGTAGAAGTTGGAACGACAACAACAAGCACTACAAGCACCAGTACCAGCAGTACGACATCATCCACTAGCAGCAGCAGCAGCAGCACCACCACCACCACCAGCACCAGCACGAGTTTCACATCCAGCAGCAGCAGTAGCAGCAGCACGAGCACCAGCAGCACCAGCAGCACCAGCAGCAGTTCCTCGAGTTCAAGTTCCACCACTACAAGTAGTAGCTCCACAGCGAGTTCCTCCACTTGGAGCACCACCACTGGCACCGGGACTAGATCCTCCAGCAGCACCAGCAGCAGCTCCACCAGCAGCACCAGTAGCACCATCAGCAGCAGCACCACAAGCGAAAGCGCCACCACCCTCAGCATCACAACCAGCAGCAGCAGCAGCAGCAGCACCAGCAGCAGCACCAGAAGCACTGTCACAGCCACCAGCACCACCTCCTCAAGTAGCACTGAAAGCACCAGCACGTCTATCTCTGCCTCTACCTTCACTTCCTCAACCACAAGCCGATCCGTAAGCAGCACATCCAGCACCAGGAGTACCTCCATGGCTGCAACCATGCAGGCTATGCTTCTAGTGGAGCTTGAGCAGAGCACAGCGGCATTGGTCAGTGGCTTGCCGATCAGTGTTTTTGTATGTTTTTGTACTTTTTCGAGTTGTCCCTGAAGCGGAGAGGATGAGTGCAGCCGTTAATTGCGAGATCATCGGCCATCATTTTTCAATTCTCGGGCAAAGACATGATAGATGCCCCTACGGTGCAGGTCTTCCATGACCTTTAATAGAGGATGTGCATTGATATGCTGTGAAAATCATGTGGCTTAACTGGGGTGGACCCTGCGTTTGTGTAACACGATGAAACGAGCGTGTGACTAGTCTGGGACCTCGGAACTACTGTGCGGTTTTCGAGCTCTTTATATAGTGACCTTTGCCTGGTTTCCAGCTTTTGATGATTCCGGCACTGTATTTCTGCTTACAAAGCTATCCCAGCGGTTAGGTCATCCTTCACATCGTCCCAGGAATCTGCCCCACTCCGTGTTCCAGTTCCCCCCGTTTAGAACAAAAGACAGCCAAGCCGCGCGGCATCCGGATCTGCCCAGTTGCGACGTAGTGAAGTGTGTCTACGACTCGACCTCCTCATCCGATGAGGAGGACGAGTCGCAAGACCTTAAGAAGTCCAACTGGTGCTGCAGGATCTGAAGATCGCAAGGGCCTGAAACAGAATTTGCATGAAAGACTCGAAGTGGCCAATCATAGTATTCGCTCCCCGGCGAAAGGTCCAGAAGGTAGGCGCGCCCTGCGTCTCCGAAGTAGGCTCAGTAGACAAGCAGGCCACCCATGCTGAAACCAGAGCCAAGAGCCATGAAAGCGAACGGCCATGAAAGGAGACTGCAAAGGAAGGACCCCTTCCCCAGAAAATGCTTCTTCCCCACTCCCCAGTGTCCCCCGTTCTATATGATAAAACCTTCCCTTTTCTCACAACGACACTGCTCTCGTTGTCGAGGTGAATTGCTTTCGGCGGAGAATGGGAGTGCGGTGGTGGCGGAAGCCTTTGGCACGATGACCGCAGTGAAGTGGCCTCCTCAGCCGGATCTCTAAGCTGGTGGGGGGGTGTTCGGTCATCCAGTCATCCGTGCATGGATCGTGTGCCGTGTCACATGATCCGTGCCTTGCACTGCAACAATGCCACTTGAGCTCTTTTCCCACGTGGAGGAATGGTCTCGATGTTGTGCCTTTCATGTGCCATCGTGGCCTCACCCATTTGCTATGAAGGTCTCAGCATCCGAAGGTTCACCTTTGGGACGGAAATGGTTGGGTGAATGTCGCAACACTGGGCTCAGAGTCCGCTGGCGAGATGAGCCAGCTTTTCACTTGGGAGATGAAACCTCAGTGGGGTGGAGGAAACTAGCCCTGATATGCCCCATTTGCACCCGGATTCCCAGCAAGCGCTCTTCTCAGATCGCTTGCCAAACAAATAGGCCATGGTGGGGCCACTCTTGGCCCCCAAGCTCCCAAATGTTCCCCCAAGCTCCCAAATTACTGTAACATACTGTAATCGTTTGAGGGGTGATCGGTTCAGATTCATTTCCAGCAAAATCACAGGGCCTTGGAACCTCAAAGTTTAGAAAAGCAATGTTGATGAGTTTGGACAACGATTTTTCATGATTTTACCATATTTTACCCTAACAAGAGCCGGGCAGTTGCGTGTGGGACTGGGAGATGCTGGGAGGGTGCAGCAGTCGACTCCCGAAGCTGCTGGAAAAGTCGAGGTTGCCAGGTTTGAACTCCACCACGACTCCATTTGTCTCCATTGCAGAGGGCAGCCCTGCTGCAGCTGTCCTCCCATTGGAGGTGCCTTCCGGAGAGTGAGAAGGATCAGTTCTACAGGCTAAGTGACTCGCTAAGTGACTCGCACATCACTCCGATTTCTTGGGTTTGGGAGTTTCGAAACCTCGAGGTCTGGTTGTCTCTGGCCGAAGACTCTGAGTCCTCAGAAGGGCAGCTGCATGAGTCGTCGAACGATGAGGTCAGACTGGTCAGATCCTCTGAGATCGAGGGATCCCTGGGTGTTGTCTTCGATGCGTGGCCAGGTGCTGGCCATCTCAGATGGGGCTGCTTTGGTGATGACCGCCTTCAATGGAGCTTTGGCAGCAAAAGCAGTTAGAGAGCATGGTGATCCACGAATAGATGCCTGAGAGATGACTTGTGCACATGTGTGGAGCTGTGGGGAGGAACTGTGACCTTTCAATCAGATTTTGCACCACTACCGTAGAGCCGTAGAGGGCCTCCAGATATCCGCAAGCGAAAGAAAGAAGATAAGCGCAACCATTTGTTGTTTCGCAGGACCCACTTGTTTCAAAGCACTTATAGTATAGTATCACCTGCTTCAAAGGGGGCCACATTGTGCACGGAAAATGCAGCTTTTCAACCTCCGGACTTCTCCTTGCGGCATTCATTTGGAGGTCCAAGACCAAGGATCCACTTATCACGAAAGCTAGCCTTAGCTAGCTGAAGTTGCTCTTGCTTTAGCAAGTTAAATGACGGGGTGGACGCGCCTCAGAAACCTCAAATAATTGATTAAATCAATCTTATGGACCCCCCCCTCCAGAGGTTCAACTCCCCCCTGCGCGCGGTGAGCGGGTGGAAACAAATTAGCTGCTGCTGCTGTATGCCTGGTGTGCTCGTTTGCTCCTGCTGCTGCTGCTGCTTCCTGGTGTGCTGCTGCTGCTGCTGCTGCTGCTGGATTTTGCTCCTGCTGCTGCTGGGTGGTCTGTCTGCTTTGGCTGCGTCTCCTGCTGCTGCTGCGGGGTGGGCTGCGGCTGCTGCCGCTGCTGTGGCTGCTACTCGGTTTGCTGCTGCGGCCGCTGCTGCTGTTGTGTTTGCTGCTGACGCTGCCGCAGCTGCTGCTGCTGCTGCTGCTGGGGTTGCTGCTGATCCTGCTGGGTGGTCTGCTGCTGCTGGATTTGCTCCTTCTGCTGCTGGGTGGTCTGCTGCCGCCTTGGCTGCGCTCCCCCCCCTGGATTTGCTCCTTCTGCTGGGGTGGGAACACTTGGACTCCACATGCGCTCTAAAGCAGTTTTGTCGACCTTTGAGCGTCGACAATCCGGGCGCACAAGATCCAAATGACGCCGCCTGACTCCACATCGTCGCGTACGCGGGGTAAGGCTATGATGCAAGAAATGCCGCCTGTACATTGCACCCAAAAAGGTATTAATTTTAACTCCTTTTTCGTACCAATTTCTTACATTACTGCTGTTCAATTTCGCTCCTGCTGCTGCTGGGTCTGCCTTGGCTGCGTCTCCTGCTGCTGCTGCGGCCGCTGCTGCTGTTGTGTTTGCTGCTGATGCCGCAGCTGCTGCTGCTGCTGCTGGGGTTGCTGCTGGTGCTGCTGTTTGGTGGATTTGCTCCTTTTGCTGCTGGGTGGTCTGCTGCCGCCTTGGCTGCGCCTCCCCCCCTGGTTCATTCCCTCCGGCTAGCACTGCTGACGCTGCCGCAGCTGCCTCCGGCTAGCACTGCTGACGCTGCCGCAGCTGCTGCTGCCGCCGCTGCTGCTCCTGCTGCTGGGGTGGGAACACTTGGACTCCACAGGCGCTCTAAAGCAGTTCTGTCGCCCTCTGAGCGTCGACGGTCCGGCTGCACAAGAGCCAACTGACGCCGCCTGACTCCACATCGGACGTATTTGTGTACGCGGGGTAAGGCTATGATGCAAGAAATGCTGCCTGCACATTGCACCCAAAAAGGTCTTATATAAATTAAACTCCTTTTTCGTACAAATTTTGGCCCAGCATTTCTTCCGTGCGAGTCCCGACAGAACATGGTTGCGAGTGACTGTGCAGACCACCCCCGACTTGTTTGGATGCTTTATTTGGATGCTTTGTTCGGCAACAGGTTGAACCTCAAATACTTGAGTACATCAATCTTATGGACCCCCCCGCCGGAGGTTCAACTCCCCCCTGCGCGCGGTGAGCGGGTGAAAGAACAAATTGCTGTTGCTGCTGCTGCTGCTCCTTTGTGGTTTGCTGCGGCTGCTTGGTGGTTTGCTGCTGCTGCAGTCGCTTCGTGGTCCGTTGCTGCTGCTGCTTGGTGGTCTCTTGCTTGGTTGTCTGCGCAGCCACACCCTAGCATGCGCATGCCTCCCCGCCCGGCTAGCTTTCGTTCACCCCCTCTGGCCTCAAGTACCGCAATGGGCCAACTGCCCAAGAGCTTGCCAACTATATATGCAGACTTATAAAGTCTAGAATCTAGATAACTCGATCAAGGGGAACTTCAGCTGACTTGCACATCATCATAGCCGCGCCATTTTGACGCGTTTGGTCGCTTCGATGTGCAGCGTCTCGTGGTCACTCCCTCCCGCATGCAGCCACCGTACCGAACGGAATCACTCGTTCGGCCCCTCACGGAGAATCATCGTCTGATCATGCCTGTTTTGAGTGAAAGGGTCCTTTTAACATGTTTCAATCGACCTCTTTTTTAAAGTTTTTTTTCCATGTTTGGCTCGTTCTGTGTGTAGGCAACAGCAGCCTTTCCAGTGGCTTGTCCAGCAGCAATCCGGAAGGGGGAAGTTCCTTCACCTCGATGGTTGATGCTGTAGATATCTCTTTGGTGGATCTAGGACCGGCGCACCAGCACGGCGCACGGCGCTCGCGCGTGATCGATCGGGGGGGGCCCGAGAACGGTCAGGCAGGTGGTGGCAGCCGCAGCAGGTAGCGCCAGTGTTGGCGCAGTTTTACCTGTTGAGTTGATGACGGGGTGATTGGTCAGATGCCTCAAAATGCGGTGTGGGGGCTCAACTGCACCCCATTGCTTCTAGGTTGGAGGCCATCGCTATTAGGTTGGAGGCCATCGCTTGTAGGTTGATCGCTTGTAGTGTGGGGGCTCTTCCGTGCACCCCCTGTATTGGTTTTTGGAGTCGATTTCTCTCAGAATTGGCTGGCAGGAAACTTGGTGCCACGGAAGATTAGTGCCACTACTCCCATCTATGTGCGAATCGCCACCAGCAACGCCGATCCAGCTTGGCGCTGTGCCTACTTGGATGGTGATACCTGGTCTGTGGAAGGTGTCCGCTTGGCAACAGCCGAAGAGCTTCGAGATTTTTTTGGCCCATCGGCAGATATCTCAGGTGTTTGGTGTGCAACACTCCACCTCTCCATCTTCAGTGCGGTGATCGATGTGCTGCTGGATTGTACCAACTTGAATGTGCTTTCCCCCGAGAATTTGCAGGAGGTTCTGAAACGGGGCTGGTGGATTCGTCCCCCTGCTTTGCTGCTTGCTGTGGTGCTGATAGCACTGCTCGGTCTCCTTGTTCTGGGCTTCAGGGAAGATGGCAAAATTCGAAAGCTTGATCTGTGGAGGGACGAGTACTTCTTGACAGAAGTGCCACCGGTGTCCAGATGTAATTGTGCTTCCATCTCGGCCTCTGTGTCGACTTGCGTTCCGAGATGCGTGAAAGAACCCAAGAGGTTCCAAGACTATGTGCCTGCTTTCACGGCCGAGAAGTCTCTGGAGTCCTTTGCGCAATTCAATGACTGGGTGAAACATTTGGATAAGACCTTGGAACCCAATCTGCCGGTGAAGATGCAGGAGCTCAGCGGCTCTTTGGGGTTGCGCGGTGTTTGTTTGTTTTTTCGGGAGAGCGGTCAGGGCTCAAGAATATCGGACGAGGTTCCGGATCGCTTGTGCCCCAGACTCGACGTCTCGGGTCGACTCTTTTTACCTGAGCCATTGGAAAACCACCGTCGCCGGGCTGGCACCGCAGGGAGCGAAAGCATCGTTCTTTTGCACGGCGGTTTTTGCACCGCCAACGCGATAAGGTGCGACCCAAGCCTAAGGTACTGGCTGGCATACAGAGGGCTGTGGACCTTCTGTCTCGACACCACTCACGACCGGCCTACCGCATTCCTGCTTTGTCTGGAGTGATGTCATGGCGGCAAGAGAAATGGACAGCCAAGGACTGGAGGCAATGGCAGGACAAGAAGAACGACAAGAAGCCGAACAAGGAGCAGAAGGGAAAGCCAGAGACTTCAGGATTCGTGATGTATTCCCACGACGGCAAGCGTGTCGAACTCAAGGGAAATGCCGAGCCTGGAAAGCGATCTGGATCATCTTCTGCCTCACAGTCAGATGGCAGCATCAAAGAGGAGAATCAGAAACTCAAAGATGCTATCAGGCGCATGCTCCAGGCAGAGAAGCCAGAGGATGCAGACTTGGATACAGTTCGAACTTTGGTCAAGGTCGATCCACGAGAAGAGATCCGACAGCGACAACGTCAGCTGAACCAAGAGAGACGCATTCTCAACAAGGCCGAGAACCTCAAAGAGACACTGCACAAGAAGGAGCACAGCTACCAGTCCTGGAAGCACAACATGCAAGAGGGATTAGCGCAAGAAGATCGCAGGCTCAGCAAGGAGATTGCCGAGCTCCAGGCGGAGATCAAGGCAGCGGAGGAGAAAGAGCTCAACGATACCGAGATGGACGGAGAGCCATCAGAGGTGGACCCAACCCTGGTCGATGTGACACGTCACATAGTTCAGGACGAGCTCAAAGAGATGAAGGATCAAATGGGCCCATGGGCCAATTTGCATCATATGCAGCCCATATGGAGCGGCAGAATCAGCAACTCACCGAACAGGTGGCCATGCTGTTGAATACGCTGCATGCTCGGAGCGGGGAGTTTATTCCCAAGGAATCCCCGCAGCATCCACATCCTCGACCAAGTTTAGCAAGATTCGAAGGTGTTGGGATGGAAGAACACAAAAGGGCTATGAATCGATCAAGATCGCCGATGACGAGATCTACACCGGAGGGTGCCAAGAAGCCGAAGCACGATCACCTCCCAGTAGAGGACCCGGTGAACCATGCAGAAGTCAAGCATCTCCTGACAGGTGTGTCAGAAGAAGCTCAGCGTTACTTCCTGAAAAACATGCAGAACGAGCCAGAGAAGTTCCCTACTATGACCAAGGTCCGGGAACTCATCCAGCAGATCAAAGGGGCAGAACAGAATTACAGGGAGACCCTGTTGACGGAAGAGGGAAATGGCCTGAAACGTTCCTTAGCCCTGGTGCCTTTTGGGGCGCCTGGTCGTCTGCTTGCCGGCAGGCCTCCTGGTACGGGCGACACTTCAGAAGGCATCATCTCCGATGGCATGGACGTTCCTGTCCCAGCGGCGGCTCTCAGCGATTTGGATGCATGATTGAGGGCATCCAAAAAGAATCTGTTGACCATGCTGGTCATAGTGCTATGGTTGGGTTCGAAGAAACCTGCGATGGAGCTCTATGCTTGCCGATTGCGGCTGGAGGCTGCAACCTGTGTCGACACTTTGAAAGTTTTGTTTCACCACCTTTCTTTGAGACGTTTGGGGTATGTCTCATGGATGAGTTTTCAGTTCCCTCAACTCTTCTCTTTGGATGGGATGAAAAGAGTGATTTTTCAAGGGGTGACCCGAAGACTGAACGGTTTCAGAGCAGTGAGCCATATGCTTCTACGCAACATTGGAGCTTGAGTGGATTGAGTTCTGATCTTTTCCTTGGAATGGCTCGCTGGTCTTCGATGCAACTCTTCTTCGTCTCCTGGTCCCTGTGCATCATCCGTGCTTTCCGGCGTCTTGGTGAAGTTGGAAGGCATCTTGGTGAGCGACTATGTCGAAAGGACAGACTTTGTCTCTTGCCACCAATTGGGATGCTGTGGAGTGTAGTCTCTGTTTTGGGGACGAGTGCAATGATTTGTTTCTTACTCCTTGAGAGTGTCCATGAAATTCGGGATGACCCTTTCTGTGGTGTGCATATCCTACGGGGTCTCAATATATGTCAGAATTGTGGGATCCTTTTCTGCCTTGTTGGGATATTTCTGCGACATCGCTTTGAAGAATGTCTTGGTTTTCCTGGCAAGTGCAGAACGATCAGCAAAAGCAGATGCAGAGCTGCCTCTATTCGGAAGTCTGGCTACAGAAAGACCGGGATCTTCCTCCTTCTACTTGTTTGTCAGTCACATGTTGTGGATAGCTATTCAGAACAGAGAGCTAGGCACTTTGCATCACAAGAGACAACGACTACCTACCAGAGTGACTGTTGTCCGGAAGGATCATGGACTTCCTCTTTGTCTTGTGGGGGGTTCCTTGATGCACCTTGCCGTGATGAATCGGCAACAGAAGACTCCGCCCTTCTTCGAGGCGATGCTCCGGAAAGACCCTTGCTCCGTAGAGCTGAATCGGAGGATTTTGACAGCTCACATTTTGATGCTTCTGGCTGCACAAGTTTGGTAGAAGCATGTAGTGAGGACTACCGCAATGAGGATCTAGTCAGCCTGATGCAAGTTGGACCGCCAACAGAGGACTTGGTCTCTCTATACATCCGTGAGACAACGCAAGCTAGAGCTCCGGTTGTGGTGAGATCTTGGTACCATCCTTGGGACCAGCTTGGACGGCTGCAGTCGAACATTCGTGATTTGCATTTTGATTTCCAATTGCCGGGTGCTGCCGTTGTACGCAGTCCATGGGGGAGGATTCTTGGCAGGAGGAGTTGTATGGTAACACCTGTCAGGCCGCCACCGTATGATTTTGGGCTTGTTATGCCACATTTTCTGGTGATTGCTCCTGGTGATCCACGGTATGTACCGGCATTAGTTGAATATCAAGATGCACAACAAACCCGAAGAGGAAGTTTCATCTTCCAAACCACTGTCTTCCCACCTCTGTCGTGGTTTTTCCAGCAAATTGAGCCCTTCAATCAGTGTGTATGGGCCACGGAGTGCACAATTGCCGTAGGCAATCATGCTGCTGCCAGGCTATACACATGGGGCGAACATGTTCCATTGTATGAAGGGATCTTTCTGGTTCTGCGTGAAAGACAGATCTTACGAGCAGGGGGTGGAAATAATGATGATGATGGTGCTTCCTCTTTTGGAACTTCTACATCATGCGGGACAGGTGAAAACGACGGCACTTCGGGCCTCTCGGGTATTTCCTGTGGAAGCTGTGAAGAACCAGAAGAAGATGATAGTGTTCTGATGCACCTGTTCACGCAAGCAGAGACTGCTATCACCGAGGTTGCTCATGAGCCCTACTTTCCACACTCACAGTCTCACTTTGGCATTGTACATGCTGGTCGATCTGATTCCGCGGGACCAGATGTAGTCCGGCTTTTTGCAAGTGATAGGCTTGGATTGCCAAGCAACCTTGTGACAACTGTGTATGTGTGGGGAGTGACCAGGCCCCATTTTACAGTTGCCTACTTCGCCAGAAGATGTGCTTGGGTCCCTGACAAGTCATTCACAAAGGTCTTGCTTAGTGAACTGGAAGATCTTGCTGGCTTCGATGTATGGGGCTTCACAATCCCATTTCCGGTGGTTGAACCATTATCTTTGCGTGCATATCCGATTGATTTGCTTGGAATGCCAATGTCGCAATTGGAACTCGGCGAAAAGGCTTTCATCCTGGATGTGATTGGCTTACCTCTGCCCAAAAGGGTTGCAGTCCATGTGGAAAGAGAGGGCGCCCTCCAATCTATCATCACAAAACTGGGCATCACGTCGACCTGCCAGACCAGAGGTACTTTGTGCTACCTGGAAGTGTCGAATAATGGCGAAGTGAGATATTGGTTGAATGAACAAGTCGTTGATGAACTACATGGTACGAGTATGCTGCTCCGCATCTCCACTGTTCAAGCTTGCAGAAATGGTGAGCTGGATAGAGGACTTGGGCCCCTGCCAGGAGATGAGACGACACTGTTCCAGCCAGCCCTCCACCAGAGGATGATGCAGCTTCCAACTACATCTGAAACCAATGATGAGGGGGACCAATTTGAGATGATGATCCAGCAGAATCTTCGATGGCACGAGCTGAGAAGAAGGGTTGCAAGATTGACGCGATTCCTGCAATTTGACCATTTGCGAGACGAGGCAATGGCCTTCCGAGCTGCTAGAGGCAGGTGGCCAGATATTGTCCTCTGTGGCGTTATTGCTGATGAGACTTCCTTTTGGAACCTGGAGATTGATGGTATGCTCGAGTTAGCATCTTTTGACAAAGAAGAGGTGCAAACACTATTGCGAGACTTTGTTGAGCCTCCTGTTTCACAAGAAGGAAGAGTGACAATGGCAGCTGTAAAACCGCTACCCACAGTACATGAACAGAGTGGTCAGGACGACCTCTATGTCATAGTTGGAGAAGAGCTTCGACCTGATGAGGTTCTGGCTTTGATAGCGGTATGGGACTCTAGAGTTGAATCGGAAGTTGAACTCCATCCTGTTGAGCTTCCCTCTCGCATGACGACTGCGGCACTCTTGCAGTCCTTTGGATTGGAAAGCCGATGCTCTCTTCCCTTTTTGGACTGTGTTGTTTCTCATTCCGGCATGGAGATGCCAAGAATCTTCTCATGGACGCCATTCCAAGGTATGAAGATTGTCATTGAGATCAATGTGAGGGCATGTCCGCTGCCTGAGGTGACCTTCCGCACTCTCATACGACCGCCATCAACGACAGATGATGAGGAATATACCCTGATGCAACTGCACACTTTGGTTGATGAAACATTGAACCGAGTACGGGAGTATGCACGGGGCTGGACCCGGGGTCGCTTGGAGATTACAGT